AAAGACAATGCTTCCCAGAAAGAAAGGAAGAGTAGAGTTTGAGCTTTTTCTGCCACTATCATCTTCTACTCAGTCAATTCCTAGGGGGATTCAGGAGCACACAGGAACTCAAAGCACGAAGATTTTCTCTTTTTACTCTTGAGGTATCAAAGTGCTATAGAGGTAGAGATCCAGTTTTAAAATACGTTAAGTCTAAGGCAGCATTGCTCAAGTTATATCCCACGGAGCGTTAATGTCAAACAAAACACTGATATATCTGTATCTGGATGTGCCAGTGCACGAATACATAGCCCTACAGCTCTGCACATGTGAGGGTACCTGATTAAGACAAAGATGTGAAAAAAGCTCCTTATCTTGGTGCTTCTCAGAAAACTTATTAGGTCAATATGAAACTCCCAGTAGGGGTGTAGGGTATGAGTTTTCTCCAAATTTCTTTGAGCAAATTTATTTCATGTAATTCTCTTAGGGAAGAATACTGTATTTCAAGGAAAAGAATTTGGGAAATACCGGTCTAACCCTTCGGTGAATATTGGTGAATATCCTTACTATGTATATCCTGGTATGGAACACTATTAAATTCTGAGGAATCACCATGATGTATAGCAGAAGCCACATTTTCTCTTATACTTTTTAGGAGAGGACAGGATCACATAATGTGGCTCAGTGGAAGTCTGTGGACTTTGGTCAGATATAATGCCTACCAGGGCACTCACTGGCTAGGGGAACTGGACTAAATATTTAACTGCTTTGAAGTTTAGATTCTTCATTGGCTAAAAGGGGTAAAAATTAGTACCATCTCAGAGTACTGTTTCAGTGACACAATGTACGTACACATCGTAGGTTCTCAAAGATCTGTGTTTGTAATCTGTTATTCAACAGAGAATGGCCTGTCATCCACAAGCCAACAACAAAATATAACTCACTTAGAAGCTTGAGGTTCCAGATTGTAGCTGGAGCATTCATTTAACTGTTCATGTGTCTGTGCACATGCAGGGTATGTAATTGGAACTGGGTCTCTATCCTTAGTATTTATCCACATTCAGTGGCATATGTAGTCTGAGCTAGCTCCAAAAGACTTAAGAAAAGGCTAACAAACTGAGATCTTTGATCTCAGAAAACGTGACTCGAATCTGCTGCTTAATAAACAAACACTGAGGAGGAGTCAGGATATGTTCATCAAATGTTGACTTACCTGAAATATTTTTATTGCTAAGTTCATACTAGGTAATTCTTGTCTGTGGGCCTCACTTTTCCATGTTCTAAGAAAATAATATTTCTTAAAGTTTAAAAATGCTACTTGCTTTTCTTTGCCAATACTTTATTGGCCATTACCTTCATCACCTTCCAAAAGATCTTCATAACATGATTTGTTGTTGATTACAACTTGGAATTTAAAAAAACAAACAAACACACAGCTTTTTCCCTATCATATAGGCTTAAAAAGTAAAATAGCATATTAGAGTAATAAATAAAAGATAAATTTGACGGATTATTTAACTTTGGAAAACAACTCTCAGAATACGATCTTTAAATATTTTTACAAGGTGTTAAAATGCAATCTATTAAGGGAGAATATCTATAGAAAACTAATTTTTAAAAAGTTAAAAAGAACTATAGTTACTCCATAGAATATGGAGAGGATTAAAATAAGCATCTGATGAAATTCAAGCCAAATGAGGCCAGTTAACCCAAGGTACACCATTTAACATTCTTGGACCTACTGTGTTAGGCCTGTCTGCAAAATGGAGAAAAACTAGTTCTTAGATGATATCTAATCTGATAAGAACGACACCTCCTCCTCCTTTTTTGAAAAGCTGTACCACCAAGCTTCCTACCCAGTAAGCTTTATCATTTGGTGAAGGATAAACAAGTTTCAGAATTTCATTAGGACAACTTTGAAAGCAGGAGTATGCCACTTATTCTGAGAAACAGAAATGAGTACTATGCTATGTTTCCTGCATCCCACCCCTCTGGAAGAGAATGGGAAGAATCTGGCATGACAGGGAAGGTGGTGGATGGTAACACAAGTAACAATGCTTAGTAATTAATATGCTAAAGCAGTGATGGCCAACCTTTTAGAGACCCCATATCAAACTGCAACCCCAAACCCACTTATCAGGAAGGCCAACACTGCAATTAAACCGGAATAGTGCGCTTTTAGTTTAGGAAAAAACAACTCTGCATTAACATCTTTTGTCTTAAAAACAGAGTAACACATGTGCCATAGGTTCACAACCACTGGCTCAGAGTAAATTCGCTTGATTGTAGACCAGTCCAGCCAGAGTGACCTTGAGAGAGAGAAGCTGGAGCCAGATAAATCTTTACAAGAAGAGAGCTGCTCAGGAAAGTTCCCAACTAAGCCAGGGCACTATCTGCAGAGTAAAGAGCACCATGTAGTTGAGTACTGAGAAGCCCTCCCTGAGAGCCTGAGGCCTCCATGCTGGAGGGAAACCAACAGTTACTGAAGGTGAGTGCTCAAAGGACCTCCTGAGGTCTTTTAATGAGTTAGAGCCAACATTCACCCTCCTCCCCCCATAGTCACACGTGCTGTGCACTGAGTACTTGTTGCTCTAAATAGTACTAGGAACCAAAGCTATTTTAAAACAAATGTGTATTTTATGAATTTACTGCCTCTCTGAATATTTGAAAAATATTAATATACATACCTGAGACAAACAGGTGATTTTACTCTCTGGTGTGAGAAACTGAAAGTGTAACTAAGAACCAAATTGTACAACAGATATGGTGATAAGAGGAAATTGTTCAAAAGGAAAGGGTTAACTAGGGAGGTGGAAACGGAAAGGAAGGGAAAAGAAAATATGAGAAAAGGATAAAATGGACACAAAGCTTTGTAAATAAGGGAATACGGGCTGAACGGAGGGGAGGAAGGGGAAGGGGGAAAAGACAAATCAAGCGGTGTCATGTATGTGATCATTGTCTATACCTAAATTGTACCAAGAAACTTAAATTGAAAAACACGTAAAGCTATGCATGCAGTTTCTTTAGACACTAATATACATAGGGATGAAATTTACAGTATCCTGCATGAGTAATCCTGGTCTTTTGTGACCTTTATCTGTGGAGTTAGTTTCTCAATCACAGCTCACCTAAATTCCTCCCTGCTTCTGGGAGAAGGGACTCTCAATAGCTCCCTATTGTCTGTATAACTTGGCTCACACTTTTTAGTGCAGACTAAAATCTTTTCTCCAGCCTCCTTCGTGAACATCAGGCCCCAGGCACATTATCCTTTCCTTCCCCTTCAAGCACTTCCAAGCTTCTTTCTTCTGTAGTCACCTAACCCTCCCCCAGAAGCTGTTCCTACTCCACCTCAGCTGTGCCTGGCCAGTTTGGAGGTGGACACCATAACCACTGGCTTATATTCCTGTGCCCTTCCCCCTGAGAGGCTGAACCATGCTCCTTTCTCTTCTACCCTACCACTTAGGGCACCACTCGAGGCAGGATGTTTAGTAAGTGACCTATTAAACCAAAGGAGTAGATCAGTGAATGAGGAGAGCAACTGCAGAAACACATCCTGAGATATTGTCTAATGGAAGACCTGAAGGCCTTTGTGGAATTAATATACAGTGGCAACTTTATTGGTAAAGCTGAATCACCTAAACCATCATTTAAAATAATCTTACAAGGAGAACAAGACTACATCTGTTGGGATGAACTGCAGTATTTTGGGATTCAGAAGGAAATGTGAAGGGTTTTTGTTGTTTTTTTTTCCTCTCTCAGACTCCTTTTTTGTTTTGTTTTGGTTTTTAAACCGGCATCTTCCACTCTGCTTACAGTGGAAGCCTGCGCGACAGCTCAGCTTGCAGAGCCGGGGAGGCCCAGGCCCCAGGTCCCAGCGGGGCCCAGGGCGCCCTCCCGGCAGCAGAGGCTGGGCAGCCCTCCCGGGCCCGGCCCGCGGGGGCGCAGCTCGGTCGCGCCGCCTCCGGGGTCTCAGGCGCCTCCACCCCGCCCCCGTCTCTCGTCCTCGGGTTTCCAAGTTGTTCTTTCCAAAAAATGTAACGGACCGTTCCTTTGTTTCTGTTTTTGACTCGACTGAAGAGGAGAAAAAAGTTTAAGCACAGGAAGAAGGGTAGTAGCAGAAAGCACACCGGCTTCGCCGCCCACCGAAGTTTGCGTGGCGTTTGGCGCCGTCCGCAGCGTCGCCGCTCACTTCTCCGGGGGCGGCGCAGCCCACGCCCGCGGGACGGCTCGCGGAGACCCGGACGGGGGCGTTTCTAGCAGGAGGGCGCGCACCGACTTGGAGGCAGGCAGGCGAGCGCGGCCGAGTTGGGGCGTGCGTCCCGGCCACGGCATTAAGAGCAGCTTTTCAAACATGAAAACGCATAAAAGTAAAGCAAAGCGCAGTCCCGCGGCCGGCCGACTCCTACTCTTTATCCCCGGCAGCACAGGAGACCATTCTCCTGCTCGGTCTCGCCCTTACAACCGCAAAAGCAAACGCAACCAAGCCCGCCCCGCGACACAGCAAACCCACTCTTTGTGCCCACGCGGTGCCTCGCCACCCCCACGGCCGCCGCCACTTCCTCCTCATCCCGCCTCCTCGCCTCCCGCCCGCTGCCGGCTCGGGCTCGGGCGCGGAGGCGGCGGGCGGGCTCCCTCTGCGCCGGGAAGCCGGGGCCGCGATTGGGCGACGGTCCCTGAGCCTCCAGTTCCGCGTCGGTTTCAAGGCTCCTCCCTCCTGGTGAAAGATAGACTGCGGGGCGCCTGGAAACCGGTCGGAGGGCGCGAGGGGGAGAGGAGAGGGAGCGAGTTGAGGGATTGACACAAATGGTCAGGCGGCGGCGGCGGAGGAGGAGGCGGAGGCGCAGGGGGGAGCCGAGGCCGCTGAGCGGCGGAGAGTTGCGCGCCCTACCCGGCCGCGACCACTAACGCGCGCCGCCAGCCGGGAGCCAGAGCGCCCAGGGCCAGGAAGGCGGGACGCGACCCCGGCGCGCCCGAGCCACCCCGGCTCTCCCCGCCGCCCGCGCGCGCGCTTCATGCCTCGCAAGTTTCCGCGGCGGCAGCGGCGGCTGCGGGACTCCGAGCAGAAGCCGGGGAAGCGGGCCGTGCGCGGCTCGGGCTCGACGGAGGGCACCGGCGAGGAGGACGAGGAGGTCTCCGGCCGCAGCCGAGCGGCGCCGAGAAAGTATGGCTGAGGAGGAGGCGCCTAAGAAGTCCCGGGCCGCCACGGGCGGCGCGAGCTGGGAACTTTGTGCCGGGGCGCCCCCGGCTCGGCCGGCAGAGGAGGGGAGCGGGGACGCGCGCAGCCACCGCCGCCCCCCGGCTGATCCCGGGCACTGGGCGCGCCAGCTGCTGCTCCTGCTCTGGCTGCTGGAGGCCCCGCTACTGCTGGGGGTCCGCGCGCAGGCGGCGGGCCAAGGGCCCGGGCCGGGGCAGCCACCCCCGCCGCCGCCGCCGCCCCAGCAGCAGCAGGGCGCGCAGCAGTACAACGGTGAGCGGGGCATCTCCATCCCGGACCACGGGTACTGCCAGCCCATTTCCATCCCGCTGTGCACGGACATCGCGTACAACCAGACCATCATGCCCAACCTGCTGGGCCACACGAACCAGGAGGACGCGGGCCTCGAAGTGCACCAGTTCTACCCGCTGGTGAAGGTGCAGTGCTCCGCCGAGCTCAAATTCTTCCTGTGCTCTATGTACGCGCCTGTGTGCACAGTGCTGGAGCAGGCGCTGCCGCCCTGCCGCTCCCTGTGCGAGCGTGCGCGCCAGGGCTGCGAGGCGCTCATGAACAAGTTCGGCTTCCAGTGGCCCGACACGCTCAAGTGCGAGAAGTTCCCCGTGCACGGCGCCGGGGAGCTGTGCGTGGGCCAGAACACGTCCGACAAAGGCACCCCGACCCCCTCGCTGCTGCCGGAGTTCTGGACTAGCAACCCCCAGCACGGCGGGGGACACCGCGGCGGCTTCGCGGGGGGCGCCGGCCCGGCTGACCGCGGCAAATTCTCGTGCCCGCGCGCCCTTAAGGTACCTTCCTACCTCAACTACCACTTCCTGGGGGAGAAGGACTGCGGCGCGCCCTGCGAGCCCACCAAGGTGTACGGGCTCATGTACTTCGGGCCGGAGGAGCTGCGTTTCTCGCGCACCTGGATCGGCATCTGGTCGGTGCTGTGCTGCGCGTCCACGCTCTTCACGGTGCTCACCTACCTGGTGGACATGCGGCGCTTCAGTTACCCGGAGCGGCCCATCATCTTTTTGTCCGGCTGCTATACGGCGGTGGCCGTGGCCTACATCGCTGGCTTTCTGCTGGAGGACCGGGTGGTGTGTAACGACAAGTTCTCCGAGGACGGGGCGCGCACCGTGGCACAGGGCACCAAGAAGGAGGGCTGCACCATCCTCTTCATGATGCTTTACTTCTTCAGCATGGCCAGCTCCATCTGGTGGGTGATCCTGTCCCTCACCTGGTTCCTGGCGGCCGGCATGAAATGGGGCCATGAGGCCATCGAGGCCAATTCGCAGTATTTTCACTTGGCCGCCTGGGCCGTGCCTGCCATCAAGACCATCACCATCCTTGCACTGGGCCAGGTGGACGGCGACGTGCTGAGCGGAGTGTGCTTTGTGGGGCTCAATAACGTGGACGCGCTGCGGGGCTTCGTACTGGCTCCCCTCTTCGTGTACCTGTTCATCGGCACGTCCTTCCTGCTGGCCGGCTTCGTGTCCCTCTTCCGTATCCGCACTATCATGAAACACGACGGCACGAAGACCGAGAAGCTGGAGAAGCTCATGGTGCGTATTGGTGTGTTCAGCGTGCTCTACACGGTGCCGGCCACCATTGTCATTGCCTGTTACTTCTATGAGCAGGCCTTCCGGGACCAGTGGGAGCGCAGCTGGGTGGCCCAGAGCTGCAAGAGTTATGCTATCCCTTGCCCTCACCTCCAGGGAGGTGGGGGCGCCCCACCGCACCCACCCATGAGCCCCGACTTCACGGTCTTTATGATCAAATACCTGATGACGCTGATTGTGGGCATCACGTCGGGCTTCTGGATCTGGTCCGGCAAGACCCTCAACTCCTGGAGGAAGTTCTACACGAGACTCACCAACAGCAAGCAGGGAGAGACCACCGTCTGAGGCCCCGCCTGGGTCCACTCCAGGTCCCGACCCCCCTCCTCCCAGAAGCCGGCCCCACTGGGAGCCCACCTGTGCCTGACAGCCCTAGGCTTCCTCTCTAGACCCTCACTTTCGCAGGCCCCTTCTACCCGCGCAGCCCTGAGCTTCCGCCCTTCCCGGGGCAAAGGACCGGAGGGTTCCACTGCAGGAGGGGTGTGGACCGGACCGCTGCTCTTGCCCACATTCTGGTATCAGGACTGTACGCTTTTATGATTGTAAATAGCCTGTGTAAGATTTTTGTAAGTATATTTGTATTTAAAGACTACCGATCACGCGTTTTCTTTGTTTTTAAGATTTTAATTATTTAGGGTGATTTAATCATTTGAGACTTTTCTCTCCTGCCCTTTTCGGAGGACTACAGAGAAGATAAAACCGCGGCACCACATAGTGCTCTTGCGCTTCCTTGTGCGCCCTGCCCTACGGGGATGCAAGGCCCACAGCCCACAGTGTGGGGAGGGGTGTGCACGGCTTTGCTGGGGTCACTTCCCACCTCCTCCATGTGCTCTGCCCCTCCTTTTTTCCTGGGATGGGGGCTCTTAAGGTACACAACTCCATATTCTGAATCCTGAGATGGGCCTTCACCCATTCCAGCGCCTTTCTTGTTTAGGGGTGGGGGACTGTCCTTTTGACTTCCCGAAGCTGAATTTTAAAGCCCTTCCCCTGCCTTCAGAGGGGCCCGGGTGTGCATTCCCACCCCAGCCCCCGACTCCTCCAAGGCCCATTCCCTCCCTATTTCCACCTAAATTGGCTAGAGGCTGAGTGGGCCAACCCATGCCAAACTTTTTTAAGTCTAATTTTTGATGGATGAGCTCATTTCATTCTCTAGTGTCTAAAACCTGGTATGGGTTTGGCCAGCGTCATGGAAAGATATGGTTACTGAATGGGGAAGCGGCCTGAAGCGTTGTGTGGGATGGGAGAGACTGAAGAGGGGTTATAAAATGTTAATTCTAATTGCATACTGATGCCTGGCAACCTGCCTTGAAGAGTGAGACAGCTCAAGTTGAGATTTCACCCTTCTGGAAACTGGAAACTAAAGGTCACCTGGAAAGCTTTGTGTGTGAAGGAATTAATCTTTGCTTTCCTTAGCAGGACAGCAGAACATAAAAAAGACAGGAAAACTTGAAGGAGATTTCAGTGTGATGGGCATCCTCAAAAAGAAGTGCTGTTGTCCTGTTTTTAATCAGATGATAATTAGACGTATCAGAAACTGTAAAATGTAAAAGTTGTACACTTTCAACTTATGATTATTATTCAGCAACACATCTTGAGGGAGGAACAACAGTCCCCACCACTGACGATAACCTGATAGAATTTCAGGAGGCTGAGGAGGTAGGATAATCAATGGAGGTTAGTTCCTAAGAGAAGCAAGCAGAACGTGGGCCTGCATGCTAACGGGAAACTGTGCAGTCTGCTACCCGAAATCCTGTGTGTTTCTTTTTTGGATTTACAAAAACCTGTCAAATGTAAATCTTGGAAGCCATTTAAAAATATTCACTTTAGTTCTCAGAAAAAGAGAAGAACAATCCTCTTGATTGTATTGTTTTAAACTTTAAGAGTTTATCAAAATGTCAGTACTTAAGATCTAAATTTATCTATATCTGTCATGCCCTAAAATAGCATTGGTCTTTGAATTTGGTATGCATTTATTCTGTTCACTATCACAAGATCATCTATATTTATAGAGGAATAGAAGTTTATATATATAAAATGCCTTATTTTTAATTTCGCAAATAAATCAAAGTTTTGTACAAAATTATATGGTTTTTGTGTCTGAAAATAATAGAACTTGAACTGTCTTTGCATTTTATAGTGGCTCATAGCCGTTCCTACCATATGAAAATTTAGAAATTCAATGAAAGATTCTATCCTAAGATGTTCGGTCCAGGCTTCTGAAGAATAACACTATTTGCGATGGACATTTGTGGAGTGCCAAAAAGAAAGATCTGTTTTTGTAACAGTAGAAAACAGAAACCTACAAATTATTTCTTTATTCAAAGAAGGTTATTAAAGGATAACTAATTTTAATATTAAAGCTTTTTCTTTCAAGGAGTAAATGCATGATTTTTTATACTGTGGAAGTTTATTTTTAAATCATTACCTTTGTCATGATTTTTAGGAGGTATTGTCTTATCTCTTCCATAATCATGGACATTCTCAAATCATAAATAGGTGATCAATAAACGGTAACTGTTTGTTTGTAAGCATTTTAAAACATCAGTTGGGCTTATTCTATTTTGTTGTTTGCTCCTGAAGACTCCATTTTTATATTGTTCAAGGGACATTTTTCAGAAGAATTTTCTACTTGTTCTATTCAGAATTTATGAATGTGTGCATGCATATATCTAAATATACATATGCACCTAAGTGTACACACATTTTAAAAATAGAAATGCCTAATATAGTGATACATTTCACAGTATGGGAATAGTAGTATTAGAAATGGAAAAATTCCAAATGGAAAACTTCAAATACCTTTAGATTAAAAATATATTTATTACATTTTTCTCTTGAAAATTTTTTTGATAAAATTATGTGTCTGAAATGAAGATCATCGATGTAATAATAGAGTTACTTTCATGGTTATAAGGTAAATGTCTTACAAATTATCAGCATCAGTTATTTTAAAACAAATGAAAAAATGTATTTGAAAATATAGCATTCAAGTCTCAGCAGCAAGATACAATTTTGTTCTTTTTTTATGTTAAGGTAACAGTGGACGTATTGTACAGACACACACACACACACACACAATTCTTTAGCCCAATTAAAACATGTATTCTTAGTGGGTATTTAACTATTAATAACTATTAATGAAACAATGTTAAAACAGTCATTGTGAGCGTCCTTAGCATGATTTGACTATCAATATGAAGAAAGGTTTTGCACGCTGGATTTAAGTAGTTTCAGAAGACATTGTAAAGTTACCAAGCAGGCTTTGTTTTTAGAAAACAATTTATTTTAAATTACATGGCACATAGAAGACAGTTAATTTTTTTGTTTCTTTCAAAACTGATGGCAACATAAGACTTGCCTGGAAAACCATAAAGCTACTGGGGACACTATGCCATTAGCATGTAATTTCCATGACAGACCTAGCTTAGTGTTGTGTGATTTGCCTAATTTTTTTAAACCTACTATCAACAGGAGTTAGTTTCTCCTTTCATAGTGTACTTGATTAAGCTTTTGGGTTAAATGTATATGTAGCGTGAAGGCTCTTAAATGTTTTTCTACTTCAACTGTGGAGGCGAAGTCCTACTTTCACTGTCGGAGCTGTCAGTGTTACACATAGGCAGAAGATCTGGACTGACTGGGGTTTGCAGCTAACCCTGCAGTGGTCACTTATCAGTCTGAGTTTACAATCCTGGGCCTTTTGTCTTCACTGAGAGTGCTGAAGCCTTCCATTATTCCTAAAGTCCAGCATTTAATTAGGAAAAGAGAGCACAGTGCAGAGTTAATGGTAAATTAAGAAAAAAATGGGACTATATTGCAGATTTGTTTCAGGACTTGGGTGGCTTTGGATCACTTTCCATGAGTTTTCTTTCAGTCTTGGTACATTTTTCAATGCATTTTACATAGTGTGGGTGCACTAGTGTTCAACTGCAGCTACTTTTGCTTTTTAATCCATCTGTTAACTACAGGCCACATTTTACATAATTTGTATGCAATTAAGTGAAACCAGTAATATGACATTGAATACCCTCTACACATCTATCCTTAAAATATTCTGTGTAACTTACATCTGAGAGATTAAAAACAAAATATGGTCATTACACATATAGAGTTGGATGCCAGTGATACTGTCATCAAATACTTTATATAAAATATGCTAATCTCAAAGTAATCTTTCAAGATTAACCTGTGGAAGCCAAAATAAGATAGGAACTATACTTGAGAATTCTTCAGTTACATAACTAAAAAGTAGTTGTAAGACTACATTAAATTCCATGTTTTTATTTTGAGGCCTTTATTTTTAAAATGGGCTGTTTCAAGGAGAGCACCAAAATATAGTTTATTTTGTTAATTTCAAGATGTGTATCTACATTTTGAACTCCAGACAGGTGGTAATAGCCCTTAAAAGTTGAAAGTCAGTAATTATTTGATCTTCAGTTATGACTCAGAATTCTCTTAAAATTTGGGGGGTTGAATAGTTTTACTCAAATTTGTTCATTCCTCTTAATAATGGACATGTTAAATTATAGCAATTATAGTGACAAAATAGACACTTAGAGCAGGCAATTAAAAGTTTATAGAGTGACTTTCCTCTTCTCATGATCCATAGTGACAAATGTCTATATGCTATTACAGCATCAAGTTACTGTTCAATATTCGCTTTGGGGGGCTTCACGTTTTTGGCACCCTAATAGGTGAAATAAAAGGATTTCTCACAGAAATCTTTTTCATGTAATGTGGATAAGCTCAAGTGTAACCTATAAATAACATGCCATAAAACACATATAATATTCTGTGGTTTCTAATCAGTTGTGGGAGTCAAGAAGATTCATAAATTACTTGAGATAAATAAAATACCATTTCTTTAAATATATCCTTTTAAAATGGGGATATTCTAAGGAGGTATAGTTTTGCATAATAAAATTCAAATACCACTGGATTTTCTTTGGTATAACTGATACACTAGTTGAGTGAAGTATTTACATAATGGTTATAAAAGCCAAGTATTAGAGTATATGGACTTGGACATTTTACATACACGGATTTTGTAAAGGTAAAGTTGGCACTTGGAAATAATTTTGTAAGTCTGAAAATTTATAATATGCATATTTTATATAAAGAACTTCATTCGCAGTTTCAAAACATGCTCATAGCAACAGTGATTAACATCAAAAAACCCTTATTGCTGCTTTGAGATAGTACTCTGTGGCGTGCATTTCTTTTCTTTCCTTTTTAAAAACCAAGTATCTTCTCATTTGTGGATATCTCCATGTTTTAGATCTCAATACCTGTTTGAATTAAATTTACAGGGGAATAGCTGCAGGATCCCCCCATAGACAAAGTGTGTCCTGTATTTCCTTTCAAGTTGGCAGCGTGTCCTTGCTTCAATGAAGCGCTCTGAGACAGACTATTTTCTTGCCCTTGGTAATGCTTGTCTTCACAGTTGCAGCAGCAAATAACGGGAAGTCGTACAGGCTAGTTAAATGCATATTCCAAGTGCCATGTGCTGCTTGATTGTTATGTGGGTTTTTTTTTCCATAAAAAGATTCAGGGACTATTCTTACCCTAATCTTTCCAGTGGCTGGGAAACATTTTAAAAGTTCACTCTAATAAATTTCTGTCAAGAAACTAATAATTCCTCAGGTAAGTGACCAACCATCTAGGTTTACCCAAGACCTAGGAATTTCTTAGAATGTGAGAGTTTTGCACTGGAAAACCCAAGAAACTGCTGGTCAAACTAAGGTGTTTGAAACTCTATACCATGGATAAAATTGTGCCTCTGTGAAATAAAAGTTTATGTGTTCGTCACTGCTCTTCCATTAAAAGTTGCTGTGGTGTTTTGCTCTTGACCACATGGAAAGCCAGTAAGCATAGACCTTGGTAATCCATCTTCACTGTTAGTGGTGATCAACAGAAGCTGAGCAGACATGAAGATACAGTTAAATTAACTACATGAAATAGCTTGGTCATTCTGTCATTAGCCTTTTGGTCCTGAAGAAAGGGGTCTAGCTGATCCCTGAATCTGGTTATTGTTACACATGAAGCAAGGTTAAATAACTATGTTTAGAAAAGTCACAAAATTGTCCCCTTGGGATTTTCTGTATAACAATGTGATCTCCCCACATAGCTAAAAAAACCCTGGCTTAATTATCATTTTTTCCTCATAGATAGGTAGAGTTAACACTCATACTTTTCTCAAAATGAAACATACATGCAAGAAGGAGAAAGAAAGGAAACTATGTCTTAAAATCCTATTGTGATGATTAAGAATTGTTGCATGCAACCTACAGACTGTGCAAAGGGGCTTCACATTTCTACATGAAACTTCAATCAGAATTGACCTGCATTCTTTTTTATTCAGCTCAGTGCTATTCTTCTTGTAAATACACATGAGGTATCATTGTCTTGTTGCTGAAATCAGTGCTATTCTTGCTATCTCTTAACTGAACTTAATGTAAATGAATTAAAAACACGCAGATAACATGACTGCTTCAGGAGCATGTTAGGGTACAGGGCTAATTCTCAATGGGGGCCAGTTTTGCCCCTAGATACATTTGGCAATATCTGGACACACTGTATTTGGGTGTTAGAGAGGTAGCATTGTGGGGGTTTAGTGTGTGGACCTCAGAGATGCTATGAAACACTGCATACTACATAGAACAACCTATGACCACAGTGAGTGATATGATCCAAAGTGCCAAAGCAAAGGTCCCTGGTTCAGAGGAATCAGTGAGATTATGAAATACACATTCTTAAAATGGTAACGTACTAACATCTATAAAATACAGTTGAGAAAAATATGAATTCACTGCACTTGCAGCATGGTCCTTATTGTCTGTTGATGTTAGGTTAAGGGACCTACTTGTTTGCAGTACATAATGATCACATTCCTCATGGGGAGTTGGTGCACATACATAACACATCTCAATTCTTTTTCTTCCTCTCCCCTCCTCCATCTTTTTGTCCACTGCCCATTTGAAAAAGATCTATCTCCCTATTTCCTATTAACTTTCTTTTATTTTGTTCTTTACAGTATTACATTTTGGGGTTTTTCATATAAGATAAACCATGCTACATTTAAGATCATGTGTCTGTTTTATTTCATGTTACCATTATGATCTCAATGTGCATCCATTTTCCCACAAATGACTTAACTTTATCCTTCTTTATGGCAGAGTAGTACTCCATTGTGTGAAAAAAATCACATTTTCTTATCCATTCACCTGCTGATGGACGTTTAGTACTCTTCTGAGATTTAGCTATTATGAATGCAAGATTTCTTTAAAGTTGATGAGGAGTCTGATAACAGTAGTCAGTGGCTTTTAGTATGCTATCACAAAATCTCAGGGACTCAATGCCTTAAGTAACAGATTTATTTTTCATA